CTGCAAATAATATGTTTATTTATCAGATTTTTTAAAACTGTGTTTTAACATTGTAAAATGAAGAATTTGATTAAGCAATCACACTATTCTATTTAGATAAAACATACATAATTTTCTTTCATATCCTCATTTTTCATTTTCTTATTCCTCTCTTCCATCTTTTTCCCACATACATACACATCATCACCATTACTAGTGTGATGTTCCCACAGAAAGTGGAACAAGGAGTTCCAGAAGGTTCATGCCCTTGGTAAATGGTAAAATGTCATTACCATAAATAAAATTGGTTTTTATAGCTACAATTGGAGATGTAGTATCCAGCACCTGGTGATTTCTAACAATGGCATTTATCCACCCTAGACATACATTTCTCTTTCCTCTATTACAACAGTATCAATATTTTATCTAAACAGCATGATAATTCTAATGTAGGTATACCTAGATTTTGTTCCTGATAACATTGTAATTATTTATTTATTTATTATTTTTTATGTGTCCAGTAGTTGCTAACATTTTAACACTTTTATTATTGGTATTAGTTAAAAGTCTAATTGGTTTCACTGAAGATTTATTGTATTAGTTTTTAATATCTCCATTTGAATAATATTGATTCAATTTTTTAGCCTCTTTATTTTGTTAACATACTAAAGGAATACGCATATTTACATATTAAAAACATATAATTGTTTATTAATAAATATCTAAAGAATATGTGAAAACTATAATGGATATAAATTTAGTATGATTTCATTACTTTAACAAATTAAAATTTTATTCAATTTTATATTCATATTTTAATGATTATTCAAAAAATTGGCATATATATATATATATATATATATATATATATATATATATATATTTAATGTGAATGATCATAAATTTTGAAACCATGTTTTCAATTTTAAACCTATAGTAAAAGTGTTTAAAAAAAATTAAAAATAACTGTTTCATTGTTGGCTGTATGTTTAGTTATATGTTTTTTTGTTAATGTTAGATTTATGTACTCCTGTAACTATTGTTATAAATGTTTAAAATTGTTAATATAGAAACATTTACATACATTCATATAGATGAGTGTATGTATATTTGTGTTTGTATGTTTATGGGGGTATGGGTGTCTGCTTATGTGTATGTATTTGTGTCTTTATTTTTAACATTTTATGCATGATACTCATAAAACTGTGATATATAATCTACAAATGGCTTCAAATAACTTACAAAATTATAATTGTCATATATTCTTAGCTAAATAGGTATACTATGTTCCTTAATAGTCCTTCTTGAAATATATCATCTTTCCAATACAATGAAAATTAGTTTCCACTGATTAACTGACTTTTCCTTATAATAAATATCACTGGGGCAGTATAGGACTTCAAGGGAAGTCTTGGGCTGATGAGGAAAAAAAAAAAAAGAAATTGATATCATTAGAATAAAAAAGTTTATTTTCTTTTCTTTGAAAGTTATATCCTACTAATTTATATTGATTTAATGGATGTTATTATTTTTAATGTCTCTACAACCAATATCTATTTTCTCAATCTATATATTTATATTTATTTATTTATCCCCAGTTGCATAACCTAACCTATAGATATCTGAAAATGTAGGTAAAAATGAAAAGGGAATTTCGGTATCAACAATTTATCTCAACTCCATCAAAATTTTTGTTTTTAATTTGTTGGTAATGGATATACAGCAAACTAAGTAACTTTTTTTTAACTTCATTTTTATTATTAAATAACAAGAATAACTGATGTATTACATATTTTCAATTTTCATAATTAATAAGTGCAATCTGTTGGTTTTCAATTGAGATTGTTTCAAGTAATTACAATAATGTATGATCCTATGAACCACAAATCCAAACAATCCAGGAATATGGTTGGAACATAGACTAAATTTTTAAATGGAATCAACCAATATTAGAGAACAAGTTAAAATCATTACAAGAGGATTAGAACTTTGTCAAATTCCTGAAAAATAGTTTTCTATTTATATATATCCCATCAGTGAAAAGGGAGAAAAAATATCCAGTAGTTATTGATAATGATTATATATTATCTACTCACAACACAAGTATACATTTTACATATTTACCATATTGAAGAAGTACTACTTTTCTCTAATTAAATGATTTGAGATATAAATTACTTTTTATTAATCCATAATTCTTTAACATTGGAAAAGAATATTTCTATTCATAAACCTCACAGAATGTAAATAGGTTAATAATGGTTTTTTAAAACTTTATTTGAAACTGTGAAGAGGGAAATCACACCTATAAGCATGTTAATTTGTAATCCTGCAAAATATTAAATTTAATAGTTATAAGGTAAATGTGCCAATAACAGACACAGTACTATTAATAGACTGTTTTCGACTCATTAATAAATAATAAGCTTGCAGATGATATACCCTGTAAAGAGTGCAAATATGTGTAGATTTGTAGTTAGAACATTTAGGAGGGTGATGCCTGAACCTCACGTGATATCATGCCACAATAACTGATAAGCAGTTGATTTTTAACAGAGTAAGGCTGAGTCTTAGTTTCAGAGAGAATTTCTTATAACTTTTCTTTCGGAGATAAGCTTGAAATCTTTATTAATTCATCTGCAATTTGCTATTTCTTAGCTTAAAATTGAGCATAATTTATTTTTGGGATTTTTAATTATATGAAAAAATCTGTTAACCAAAAAAAAACTGGGTGTCAATTACTGGTACAACATACACTGTGAGAATTTTCATGAATATTTAAATAATTGATTGTATAGAATAAAAATATATAAAAGACGATAAAAGGTTTGTTTACATAAAATTCATTTGCAAAGATCCACCCTCAAAACTTTGTTTTGACAACAAACTCAAAAGATTTTTTTCACATTAATCTTGAAAATTTTTCTTAAGATGTCTATTACCGGTGCATTTATCTTATATATTAAATTTTAAAAGGTACTCCATAATTTATTATTTATGAAGCTTTGGGATGATTCAGTTAGTTGTTAGAAACAGGTTTTCTTGTATTGAGGATTTACCTAAAACATGCCTAAGTTTATCTGATTGACCTAATGTTTGTATCAAAAAATAAATTTCCTAAATTAATGTAAACAGTACACAGTTCATATGTGGATAAATTAATAAAATTATATTTGTAATATATTGAATGTTATATATATTAAATATAAACAACAAGTATATAACAAAATATTCTGAATTTAATGGCAATATATACACATTTATATGAATACTAGTAATATTTTATAACTACAAACAAAATTTATGTGTATATATATATACATATATATATATATATATATATATATATATATATATATATATATATATATATATATATACATATATATATATATATATATATATATATATATATATATAAAGAAATTGTTTTTGTAGTTATAAAATACTTACTACCTCATATATATATATATATATATATATATATATATTATAATATATATATATATGATATTATTCTATCTTTATCAATATGTGAAATTTCAGGTAGCAATGTCTCCCTTCAGACTTCATCTACTTTATTCATTTAATGAAAACAAATTTGGACACTGCCTGTTTTCAAATACATTTTCAAAAAAAATGTTTTCAATAAGAAACTATAGTCCCACTTAAAATAAATGAAGATAGTATTCCTGGGTATCATACATTTATACATTTTATTATTTGTCAATTTAAATAACCAGAAATCAAGATTTGTCTTTATAGTTGAATGTTTTTTGAAGATACAGATTGATTTCATGGTGCTTAAATTCAGAAATAAGAAAAGGTTCCAAAAAATATGTTTTATAAGATAAAGAAATGCAAATCATTTATTTTATATGGTATTACAATTTCTTATTTGATATATATTTTTTTCTATGGGACAATATGGTACGTATAGTGAAAATGGACAGAGTCCGAAATGTTATTCATTAAAATTAATAAAGAAAATGAAGTCTAAAGGGTACAACTTTTTTTCTGAAATTTAATAAATTGGTATATAAACTATATTTTACGGTATACACTATAAATATATTAGTAAACACTATATTTTAGAAGTATTTCACCTTTCGTAGAATATCTGGTGTATTGAATGCATCATTGACTAACTGTATTAGTAAATGAAATAATAATTAGTATAATTATAATTATATAATATAAATAAGAAAAAAAAACACAAAAACAATTATGGATTGTTTATTGCCTAGCTGGAAACATTTTTAACAATACTATAGCTTAAACATCTGAACATCAATTAATATGACAATAATTCATTAAAACCATTCTTTATAGAACATTTAAATAATAACAGCAAACATTTAATTTAATTATTTTTAAAGAAATATTATAGAAAACAAACAATCATTCATTTCATGATCTCTCTTCACTTATTATGATCTCCTTATCTGTAAGTTGCCACTTTAATTGTTCTTGAGAATCCAGTTAAATGTATTGGAAAAGTCAATGACTAATTTCAAGGTTTTTCATTAAATTAGGAAACAGAACCATTATTTTTTGGAGGATTATTTATTGCCTAACTTCAAATAATTTTCCTGAAAGTAGGACCAAACTTAAGTTATATTCTGTTCATACCAATAAATATTTGTATTGGAATGTTATAATCAGCTATAAGGAAGTATACTCACAGATTAAATTACAAAAAGGCTTATAAATGAAGGATCTGTTTATGGCTAAATTAAAAAAAAATAAACTTTATTGAAATATATTGCACCCTAGGCTATATTTTTAAACGTCTTTTCTACTGTATTTCAGTTCATTGAGAGAAAATATACTTTATTTATATTTTTCACTTCATTGTAGTTTTATATTATGGCTAAATAATATATAATTAATTTCTGGTCAATCATTACAAATTCTTTTTTATATTATGAAATATTTAAAATAATATGTCAAGTGTTATTGTTAGTGCATAATATTAATATTAATGTTTAATACTTTCAATTTTTATTAATATTGCTTAGGATTGCCTTCTCAACACGGCAGTGTTGCACCTCTGGCTACAGCAACCTATTATCAACAAAGTGAAAATAGTCCTGCTAAATATCCAGAAAATGGTCATGACACATTGTCAGATTTTGTGACCTTTGTCTGCCAAGAAGCAGAGAATGCTCAAAACCAGGTAAGTTTATTCAATTTTTGCCATTATTTTATTTTATTTATTGGTATTAATTGAATATTTAATTTATTTGTATACCAAATATCAGATTTTCCAATAACTCCTTAATTAAGGGAGGCCTACTAGTTGAAAAATACTTATGAAAATGGCTAAATAAAAGTTATATTAAAGCTATTTATTTTTAATAATCACTTCATTGAGATTACTGGTCAGATAGAATACAAGAAACAATATATCTTGTATGTATGTGGTTTGATTGAATATAGTATTCTCTTGTTCCATTCTCACTAATAAAACTAAAAACTTGCTAATAAATACTCACCATCTACATTTATATGTAATGCAAAAATTATATTCCTTTTCTCTAAAATACTTTTGAATTTTGTTGAATTAAAATATTGAGTTTTCCATGTTTCATCAATTGCTGTTTAATGATTAAATTTGTTAACATGTCTGCCAATTTACATTGATTCAATAGTGACTAAAGAACAGAAACTTATTAAAGTTAAAGTTCAAAATTTAACCTATAGTCAGGATTGTGAGGAACCAGTCATGGTGAATTGAAGATACATTCTGTCATGCCTGATTCTCCGTCTTCCTCAAGGAGTGAACATTATCTGTAAAATATGAATAGCCCATAATAGGTACTCTGGCAAAATTAAAAAAAAAAAAGTAAAACAACATAACTGAATTTATGTTTTATTCACTATAACCCATCTCTATTATTCATCCCCTGGATTATTACATATCATCAGCTAACATATTACGACTGATTTTATTAATATTAAGAATATTAGTAATATTAAAACTCATTTTACTAGAGTAGATTTTCATCATTAATTTTTTTGTAAGTATAAGTTTCCGTGTGGATAACTAATTTTAACAATTTATTTGGCAACGAATACAAAAAAACTGTCTAAATATAATATTTATTAAAATTTTAATACCTACAAATAATTATCATTCCTGATATTGTTTAGAGATAATTTTTTGTTGATTTTAAAATAAGTTGATATTAAAATTTTCCAAGTATTCATATATTTATATAAAATATACTAAATAAACTAAAATGGTATGTATACCTAATTCTTTGTCCTTGTAGCAGCTAGCAAATGCAACAAATAGATGGCTTAAAAATAATGATAGTTTTAATTATTTGATATTTCCAAGGAATTGCTTAATCACGGAAGCTTGAAAATGTTGATATTTATGGTTGCAATAAAAGCAATCTAGTAGTAACATTGCATTCATGGATAATAAAAAAAAATTATTTAGGGATTCATAATTTAAAAATTTTATTTTAAAATTTAAAAAAAAAATCTCAAAGTAATAAATAAGAAAAAAAATGGGTATGTTATAGTTACTAAAGATTCCATCATATAAATAGATAACAGGGTAGTAGTAATTAATTAAAAAATCTAGTAGACATCTATTTATTTATATTTTAAGGTGAAACTATGATACATAATGTGTTTTAGCTTTGTTTATTCCTCCATTTTTATTTTATTACATTGGCAATGCTTCTTTGATGTTCAAGGACTGAACATATCAGATGTTGGACATAACATAGTGAACATCATTAATTTAAATAGCTTCAAAATGGCGTTTTAACCGAAATGTTGCCAATGTAATAAAATAAAAAATAACAATGGTGGAATAAATGCAGCCAAAATTTATATTACATAACTAGTTGACAATTATTATCGTTTGGGCAACATTTCCCTAACAGAATATAATATTCTTGGTTGAAACCCATAACTTAAAAACGTTTATTATAAATGTTTTATTAGACATAGTGCTTTTATAAAGTACATTTTACATAAATGACGCTGTGTGTTATGTTTTTTAATAATGGTGCATAAACCCTTATAGAGGTATAGTTAAGCCATGAAAAATATCTTCATTGAATAAAAGATAAGTCATTTGTCAGATCTTAAATACTTTCCTTAAAAATGGTCTAATTTTTTATTTGATTTCTCTGATTATGAAGTCACCTTTTATAAAATCGTTAAAAAGTGCTGCCCTAGGAATGGTGGTTAAAGACACACTAGTTCATTCCCAGAAACACAAACACACATTTATATGCATTTAAGAGTATTATTAGTAAGTCATGTGCAAACATTAAATTTAAACTTATCGACTTAACATTTTAATTATTTTATCTTTTGTCATATGGTTGGTAAACATATTTGAGGCCTTAGACTCTAATCAAATGTGGATTGATTGCCCTGGGAGATGGAACCATGTAAGGATGCAGTAAGAAAATATTTTTCTTTGAAATTGAATTTTAAGTTGTTACATGTGTTGTAAATTATTATTACACAGTTGATAAAAACTTTTAATTAATGTTCACTCACCACTAATATTTGAGTAAATAAATAAATTTTATAAATATCTAACTATATATAACAAAACAGTTCACAAATATGAATAAGTTTAGGATTTCACAAAAATGTAATCAGTCACATTTTTAAAAATTTATGTTTTCATTATTTTTTTTAAAAATGTATTTGTGTTCAGAGGAAGGTCTAATTATTTAATATTGGTTATGGGAAAAGAATGTCGATAAACTACATAATCAATATTTAGTTGTAAACATTTTATTGTGGATTAGTCTGATTTTGTTTTGAAAATGTAAGGTGAATGTTTTTTCAGTGTTATTAATATGATTATTTGTACACTCAATCAATTACACTTAACAAAAAAAAAAGTCACCCCTTCTAGAATTTTGTTGAACTTTATCTCTTTGTTATTTACTTTAATGTATCTCTTTTTTTTTTTTTTTTTTGTAAAGAACATTCTATATATATAACTGATTTTTTAAAAAGGAAGTGTTTAATATTAAACTATATTGTAGATAGTAATTTTAAAAATTCACATTTTGAAAAAACAAGTGTTATAAAACTGATTTCCTTCCTATTTTACTTATTAACACCATATAAATCGTTTTCAAGTAAAATAATGTAATATATGAACGTGTATATATATACAGGAGATATTTTACTATTTATAATTTTATTCCTATTCATAGCTTCTCTGTTATCCTCCCATTATAAGTTTACCCACTTTTTCATTACTAAAAAACCCTAATTCTTAATTCTGACCTTTTTTTTTATTAATGATCTATAAAGTCAATCAAAAAACTTTTATGGCAATTTTTCAACAATTATAATAGCCTTAAATATTAGAATAACAAATACACATGTATATTATAAACAGACAAGTCTTTAATTTTTTTTTAATTTTATAATTCCTATAATTATTTCATTAATTTTGTTGTTTTAGGCTGGTCCTTCAAGAAGTCCAAACAAGTTAACACAATACTACCCAAGTTCAATGTTACCCCCACCCCCACCTCCACCAATGGCAAGGCCTGTAGCGATCATTAGATCTACAGGTACATTTTGTTGTTTTGATGAAGTTTGTGATCATTATACAATATAGAGCTCATAATTTATTCTGCAGTTATTAAAAAAAAAATCCATAATCATTCATTTTATTTATTATTTATGTATGATACAAGTATGAAATTTGGGATTAATTTTAATTATATAAAAATTTGTATTTTCATAATTTCTATTTTTAAAATATTAATAATTCAACTATTTAATGTTTTTAAGTTCAAAAACTTTATCAACTGAACTAAAAACAAACATTGTGAATCATGGTGGTAAATAGTCCCCAGAATGAAACCATAAATATTGAAAATATTGGGATTTTTATAATTTTATGACCTATTAAAAATTACAAAGGTCCATTTGAAAGTAATTTGTTTAGAAATAAATTAGGAGTGAATAATAAATACTTATAGTTAATGACCTTTCAATTAAATAGTTATCGGTTTCTTTGATACATCAAAGAATCCTTATTCATCTTTATTTTCATTATGCTCACTTATTGTTTGATTCTCAACTTGAGTATTATGTGTGTGAGTGGGTAGATGTTTGTGCAGATACACACACAATATATTTATAATTTATGAGTGTGTATGTGATTTATGATTTTAAAAATCTTAAATAAAGCCTTAATTTATCCAAATTTAATTAATTAGTTAATTATGGACCATATTTATGGACAGTTACATTTACAATAGGCATGCTTTATTACCATCTTCAGTAATTTTATTCACAGGTGCAGTAAAACTTTGATTAACCTTTCTTTTTTTTTACCCTCTATCTTGCCATTTCTGGCACACAGGAGAGGGGTTGTTCTATAAGTGCAACCAAGCCTGTTTTAACTAGAGTGGGAAACCAAGATTCATTCCGTGATTAAACCACAAAATGAATTTCAACCCACCCAGGCTGAATTTGAACTTTCCCACCTTGACTCATAATGTTAAAGCAGGCAATGCTCAGCCATTATGGCCTCTTAAAACGTTCAATTAACTATCACCATTGATACCAAGGATGTGATGTTTTGGCAAATAGATAGATGACAGAAATACTTTAAGAAATATCTTAAATTATAAATGAAAATCTATTCTTTCCGATTTTCGTAAAATGTTTGCAATATATAGGAATTTTTTTTGTAAAAACTTTAAAACAAATACAATAAAAAAATTATATCAATTTAGGTAATATATAAGTTATAAAGTAATTATTCAGCTTGAAAATAATTAGACAATTTTATTTTCACTTTTCGGCACAAGGTTGCAGAAATATTTTACATTTTATGGAGCAGTAGTGTCTGTGACAGAATAGAATAAGTTTGTAATTTTCCTAATTAATTTAGTTAGTTGATAAATTTCTCAGTCTTATTACTTCACATCCTCTTGATCAGTTATTCCAAGATTTTAGGCCTATGTGTGTAATTAACTTATAGATACATGTATTTGTCTTTTTAAAAAATTATTTGACTTGCATGAACTATTTTTATCTTTTAAAATATGATGTTTATATATAATTGAATCCTTTTTTGCAAAACTGTGCATTATATAATTAGTTTGCTACTATTTGTGAATATATTTCTTTGAAATAGTCACATCATGAGTTAAAAATCCGAATTTTTTATACTGTACTGATGTTTAACAGGAACTTAACAAATGATGAGTGATTGGTAATCAAAGTTTTACTGTATTTGCTATCCAATTGATATTTTTTTATTATAGTAGATCATTTATTGTAGTTTTGATAAATGAATCTCTAAAATTGCAAACATATTAATTACTTTATAGGTAAATTTAATATAATTAAAGTATGATGTTCTAACATCTTAATTTCTAGTTGTTGTATATGCATGATTATCATATGCTAAGCACACACACATACTACATTTTAGACTGTTTTTTTTTTGTTTATTGGTTATAAAGCAAAAAACTCATATGTATTCCTACTAGGCCAGTTATTCAATTATTTTAAGCACTATTTGATGATATTTTGTAACTATTTTAATGTTAAAAAACAATTAAGAGATACTGAATTGCTTTTAAGAAAACTTGATACAGTATTTCATCTTTGAAAATAAATTCCAACTATTATTACCGTATCTAGTTTGCCATGGAATAATCCTTTATTATCTTTTCTTTTGTAAACATACCATTCCTGTAAGCTATGCATACATACTTTGCAAATAAAGTAAAATGTATAAGTAAATTACGTTTTAAACTCCTTCTTGGCCTTTAATTTCAATGTATAAATATTTATTTGTTAAGGTTTTCCTGTCACAGAATATTTTAACATTTGTTTTTAAATTACACTTTAGTTACAAGAATGATGAGTTAAAGGAATAGGGATATTTTCTTTTTTAAAGGGTCAAGGAATTTATGATGATATAAATCACTCAATGATGCCAGATTTAAATTTGTGAAAGGTGGCAAAAGGATACGTATTGAGAGAAATTGAGTTAAAGAAATAAAGTTGTCTAATTATATGTTGTGGCTGTACAGATAAAAATAAGAAATTTACTAGCAAACAAATTGAATGTAGGTGTAAATCTAAGAGAATTAGCATATTATAACAAGTAAACTCAAAATGATTTGTTTCATTTGATAGTATGCAGTCATTCTTAATAGTGGAGTTTGATTTTATTAGTATTAAGGTTAAAAAAAAAACAATGGATAATACAATCATAACTCATTTAACATGACGCAGTCAGGGGGGTGGCAAAAAACTTACTTTATTCTTAGCTCATGTTTCAACCTGCATTTTATGTTCAACCTATATGTCTTCATAACAAACTCATTTAAGTTTCCTGTTTCAACAAATTGATACTCCTTACCAATAAAGTAATTGAAATCAGAAAATGTTTCACTTATCCATGTTTATTTATCATGGAATATCTGCTAATAACTAATAATGGTTAATTGATTTTTATTTGTCATTAGATTTCAAAATAAGACATGTGTTATTGTGATGTGTTCTTTTGTCTAAATGTTACAATAAGGAAATTAACTATCTGTTCAAATTTATTAACTAATATTTCTAAAAATTTAACCTCCACACATCTATACAACACACTTGATTTTATATTTACTCAAAACAAAAAAACAAAAGCAAAAAAATCATGTTCAACTTAATTCAACATGAAATTTTAATATTACATAATTAACCAAATGAAATCTTAAAAATACTACTATATTTTTACTAAAGCATATATAAAATTACTTTCGATCTAAATGACAATTTATCATTGCCATTTGAAAAAAAGGACCACGATAGGGCTCACTTGCCTGACTAGTTCTCCCAACCAATACCATTGCCAAATACATCCTTATTAAATTTTAATTTAAGAATAAAATGTTGATTAGAAGTGAATAATATTTTCAATATTTAATTTTTAACTGTAAGAACCAATTCATTGTTTTCACAGTTTTTCTCTCTTTTGATTTATTAATTATAAATACTGCTCGAAAATGAATTATATATGCTTATTTTATTCCTTTTAAATAAAATACCCTATTTTTTTTTTGTTCATTAGGAATTCTCTTATTGGTTGGTAAACATAAAAAGTAAACAACAAGTATTCTATATTTTTAATAAATTATTAACTAAAAGATAGTCAACGAAGAGTATCCATTTTATAAACAAACAGTTGTTTTACACTTTTCTCAATTTTAATCCAGCAATATTCTGTTTAATGAAGAAAAGGCTTCATATTGAACCACAATTTCACAATATTATTGTGAGAATGAGCGATCAAGGGAACCAGAAAGTGAATATCACCGACACAGTTGGTGTCTCCCAGATTTTGGTCTCCCAAGCTTTAACCAGATTCAGAAAAACCGGAAGTACCAATAAGGGACCTTTTAGTGGATCTCAGCATATTATTGAACCAAGGGATGACAGAAATATTGTTATTACTGCAAGAAACAACCCTTTTCACTGTACCAAAAATAGCCTAAATTGAGTGTTGAATGTTCTGCCTAGGTCCCATACCTATACAAACCCTATCATCATATCTTTCTTATAATACCGTGAGTGCCTAGATGAAGATAGAAATTGGAATGCTGATATGTTTACCGACAAGTCGCTTTTCTGTATTTATAGCATTTGAAGAGTCCACCGAGAACAGAGGTTGGGTACACTGCCACAGTTTGTGCTTTCACCAATACAATCTAATAAGGAGGACGGACTTTACTCCATACAGAAGGTACTCTCGTTGAAGTTTGTTTTGATCAAAAAATTGTAGAGGGGTATATTCCTCAAACCAGAGCAACAATTGGAACAAATTTTCATTTTTTTTTTTTTTTTTTATAACATTATACAATCTCAAAGGAGAAAAGTTATTTTCTGGACATTTCAGATCTGTCGCATCTAATAAAAACAAGATCACATTACCTTTAATTTTATTTTTTTTTTAAAACATGTTTTATAAGATATCCAGATATCAAATATAATCTTATTTATTTTAATTTTCAATGTATTTTATGATAAAAATTCTAGGGAAAATAAATCATACATAACTATCAGTATCCCTATTCATTTTTGAGCAGTATATATTGTCCATTTCATTTCATTTATATTTATTCTGGGTTTGATTTTTCTTTATGTATATTATAATATATATCGTCGGTTTATTCCAAGAAGTATTGCATCCTTGCTAACCTTTTAAGTACGGTTTTGTGAATTTTGACCCTATTTACCGATATTGAAGCACCTTAAGTGTATCAAAGTGACAAAAACTCTGTTATATACCAAAAATGGTTACAAGTTTTTTTTTAACCATAAACATTACTCTGTGTTGTATATTTTCTAATCTTATTGTGTAGTTTTTGTTTAATGGGTATAATCAAATACCACCCCCGTTAAGAATGACTGTATACCATAAATTTATACCTTTTTTTTTTGTTCTTTATCATATTAAGTCTACGTTAAACATTTTAAATCATACTGGCAACAAAAATAATTACAGTTTATAAGATTTAGATTAGTAGGAAATTACTCCTGGTTATAAATATATAAAAAATATCAAACCATCCTAAGTTAACATTTTCAATTTTTTTTTTTGTTTTTTTTTTTTTGTTTTAGAGGTCCTTTCTTGGTTATTTTAATAATTATTTGTTTTTAAATGAATATTTCTTAGTAATAAATTAATTTGTACAAACGATTAATTCATTTATTGGGTATTTTACCAATAGTGAAAATGTAATTTGTGATATTGGGTATAATGGATCCAGACAAATGTCTCTGGCATTGTACATTTGTATTATTCTGAGGGGACTAGGTGTCCCAGAATAAAATTTACTTTTCATTCATCCATTCATGAAGTAACTTATTTCAATTAATCCCAAAGTGTTACCTATAATTAGTGTGAGTTGATCAAAATTATGAACCATAGTCTATAACCTGTAAAAACTGTAGGGATGTATAATTATTATAGATCTGCAGTTTTTGAGTGTTTTAGTATAAGAAATTATTATTGGCATTTAATAGTTTTAAAACAATAATTATTAAAATCATTACAGAAGTTTATTATTCGAACTTACTAACTTTTAATATTCTTCTTTTTATATATATATTTTTTCTTTTCTTTGTATAGAAAACAAGTCTTTCTTTTCATATTTTTATACCAAATTTGGCCTTAGTACATAATACATTTATTTTGAGGTTTGTCTCAGCAGTGATTTTGAAAAACTACTTTGAGATATTTCTATAATATACTAATAAGATACAGTGTCTGCAATATCTGATATTTTTTTCTGTCTCACAAATTATTCAGTTTCAATTCAATGACTTATTTATCACAGGGTTGATACTTATTTAAAAAGTTCCATTTTAACCGATTCTGTGAAACTTTTTAGGGGAAAAAAATTCTCAGGAACTACTTTGTAATAAAGTTCAAGGTTTATGGTGAAAGTTCAACTTTTATTTATTTAACTTCTTAAAAAAATATTTTAAATGAAAAATGAATAGTAATTTGCCTTATATTAGAGTTATAATTTATCTTTAATTAATTACTTGATTATAATGTGTCATTTGTTTGAGTGCCTATGAATAATAGTAATTCTTAGATTTTTGGTAAAATCTACTGAAAGTTTAAATATAAACAATCTAATCTATAAAGACATGAGTCTCTACAATGTCAAATAAATTTAAATTTGCCAAATCCAGGAGTTAACTGTTCACTTGTATGTTAGAGATTCATGGTTTTATAATTGGGATTGTTCCATTCATAATGTATCTTCTTTTTTATAGGCCAATAACTAAATTTAAAAAAAAAATGCCTCTTTTTGAGGTTTTTGCTTATTTTAGTAATTGTGTACAATATTTACTGGAAACGTTGTAAGGAAAAATATTCTAGTTCCAAAATATCATAAAAAAATATGAAAATAAAGATTTCATTCAAATTTAAACTAATTAAAAATAAAAGACAAAATTTCAGTTCAAGCTCGGCAATTTATTATTACTTTGAATAATCTTTAAATTCTAAAACGTTTTAACCAATTATTTAAACTTTATTTTTTAAATCATATTTTTATTTATAAAGAATAAAAATACCTTAAGGTTTTATAAACGACCTTTATCATTATATTATTTGAATAAGAATGGTGTTAAAAAATAATGATAACGTATTAACATACATTCGTTAGAATAAATTAAAATAAATATATATATTTTTTTAATCCTGTGACAAATTGTAATGCTTATATTGTACTATTTATTGAAAAATTATTTACAACTGTGAATGTACATATTTTTGAAATTCTAACAATGAAGAAGAATAAAACAAATATATCATTAATGTCCCTGATGAAAATACTTTTTTTTTTTTAACTTTTTAGTTAATTGGCATAAGTATATATATATATATATATATATATATATATATATATATATATATATATATATATATATTTGTAGAAGCGTTTTTAATTAAATTTTCAGCAGGGTATTATGGCACAAATTGTATTAGAATTATATAGATGTACAAACATTTTATGTTGTAAATCTTTCTTATTCCTTCTGGATCAAACAGCTATAGTAAATTAATTTCATGTAGATATTCATTTAACAATAGTTGTAAGGGTTTTTTGTAAATATGTGAATGAGATGGAAGAGTTTAATATGAAAATTCATATAATTTTAGCCATCATAATAAATTAAAATAAATAATAAAAGGCTAAGACACCATGATTTCCATTTAGGAAGTTAGTGAATTGCTGAGGGAATCTCTGAATTCTACATGAAGTTGACAGGTTTAGTTTTTAAATAATTAGAGAGGATGATAAGAGCCTTAAAAATAAATTTCATTCAGGAGTGCCTTAATCATCACATGTTTGGTTCATAGACGGATCCAAGTGATAAAAATGCAAATCAATACTTCAAGAAATATGCTTAATTTATGAATAATCATTCAATGCTTTTAATACAAAAGAAAGAAAAACTCCATAGACCTTATACAGCCTGATAACTAAATTCTCATTCTAATATTCAATATTTCCTATATCTAATATATAACTATTCCCTTTTTCAGTTGAGATAAACGTATTAAAACATTAATTTTCAATGAAAAACTATGACATAATGTTAAGTACATGCCAAGATTATATATTTGAAGAAGTATAACTAATTTATATTTATAAACTGAATCAAATACTCAGATTTTATGTAGTCTTTCTTGACAAAAATGAAAAATCTCATATAATCACAAAAGGAACAAAATAGTCATTAAAAATTTTAAAAATATAGTACCCCCCTTATGGTTTAGCCATAAAAGTACGAAATTATTCTTTGGTTGCATCTATTGTTCTAAAAACACTCTATTGACCTAGCAGATAGGAGAAATTTAATGCTCAATATTTACCTGATTCCAACAAAAGAAGTTATGTGGTTTAATAATTATCATATTAATAATAAAATATTATTAGGATAATACTTATATTTATTTGTTTTTATTATTTTCTTTATTTTTTTTTTATTTCCCTAAAGATATTATTGATATAGGTGAGTTGAATGTAAGCAGTGGAGGGAGTGGTGGTGGTTCAAGCCCCCAAACACCACCAAATGAGGGTTCTCCTCCCCGATCCCCAAACGGGCAAGGTGGAGAAACAACCCAACACTCAAGGACACTAGTCTCCAGTCCTTTTTCAAGGGACTATCCCGTGCCCTTCACACATATACATACACAGCCTGCTCAGGTAGGCAGAATAAATGTATGCTGAAAAATGTATGCTTCATATCATATTATGTATCCCTTATGGCTAAAATCATTAGTGTCAGTGTCACATGATATATAATGGCAAAGAAAAACAAATTACAAGAAGAATCAATGACCATAACTGTATATATTTTTTTTTCCTCAATAATGAGTAGTATTATATGATTTTGTATTAATGATTTCCATAAATGGTTTTAGATTCTACTAAATTATTTTTTTTATTTTTCTATCCTTCATTATATTAAATATATCATTCAAATTCATGTAATTTGTTCATCTGTGAGTTCTTTTTCATTTATAATTATTGTTGTAATATAATAAAATTAAAATTTTAAGTTTGTATTTGTTATTTATCAGCTAATAGTCTTCATTCAAAGAAAAAAACTTTTAATTGATCAAATAATTCACCATTTAAAAGAAATGAAATTGTTATTCAATCATTTCAATTATCAAATTTCATTTTTACTGCATAACATGTTATACTTAGAATATAATGGAAGTTATGCATTTATTTAAAATATAAATAAAATGCTAATAATAAAAAATAAGAAATACTTTATAGAATATTTAATTTTTCCATTATTTTGAAATTATGTATTGTGTATATCAACCAAAAATATCAAATTTTAAAACACCTATATTGCTGATCAATTCCATTTTTTTTTTTTTTTTTTTTTTTTGTTTTATTAAAATTCCTGAGATAATGTTCTAAAAGTAGTTTTGTTTTCATTAGTATCTATTGACTTTCAATGTGTCTTCTTTTAAGTGAAATTAATATTTGAAATGACCGATTCCAAAATATTATAATCAAACTGCTCCGATACAATAATTATCATTGATTAAATAACAACAGCTGGGCAAAAAACGAAATTTAATACTAAACAATAAATACAAAATAAAGGGATTTCATTAAAAAGTAGTTTTATAGGATATCTTGAAAATCCTGAAGTAATGTTATTTTATGGTAATTGGTTGAAAATTCTTAAGTAACGTCATAAAAAAGTAATTGGCTTTCATTTATTAAAAATTCTGAAGTAATCGCTTCTTCAGGTTCAGAAACAACCTTAGGATCTTCTGTAACAGCAGGATGTGCAGAACTATTGTCTTCAAAAACTAGCTGCTCTGCATCAATTTTTTTGGCTACTAATTGCTGGTCAGGATGGCCTACATAATTGACTGACTCCTCCACACTTTGTTTATAAAAATAATTTGAAACTCCCTCCAAATTACACATGTCTGTACTCCTGTTAAATCAAGTACTTGCTACAACATTAAAAGTGTAATCACAACTTCCACTAGATTTACTTTTAAGTTCTTCTCCAACCTGTGAGAGAATAGGTTTCTCTTCATGTGATTAATTAGAATCCCCAAGTGCTTATCTATCAATTACTTTTCTGTTGCAGAATTATTTTTATCTTGACATTGTGATGATTCTTCCAGCACAGATTGTATTTGTTTTTCTTGTAGTTTTTTTCAATATCTATCGCTTGCTGTTTATAAATTCGATAATGTGGTCTTTCTTAATCAGTTAATATGGGTGGTAATATCGGTACTCCATGAATTCGAAAGCTGAAAACATATTTACTGAAATAGGACATTCTTAATTACTGCTAATTATTGAATACCAATTCACCAACTAAGCCAACAAAAAATTATGTTTAAATGATATATTTACTACCAAAATATATTTAATTGCTTAATATATTTAATAAAAATAATAAAATTTAAATTAACTGAAAAAAACACTCTGATAAAGGAAAAAAAAAAAGTTCACAGCTAAATCAGAATTTCTCTCAAAATTTAATTTACATATATTTTATGTATATGCGAATGTGTATAATTATTGTTAACTCTAGAGCCACCACACCTTAACAAAGTACGTAAACAAATTACAACACCTTAAACAAGCTTTGAATAATCCTTAATTAAAGTGAATTTAATTAATACATAATGTGAAATTTCATTTTTTTTTTTGTACAGTGAAACTTTTTCGGTATGCAAATAAAATTAAAATCAACCCAAAACTCTAAAAATAACACAACTCACCTCAGTATTTTGTAGAAAGCTTTCAAGTATATATAGCGAATAAAAAGGTTTGAATAAGGTGAACGAGATTGGTCAAGTTGGTCAAGTGTAATAAATATCTTTTCAACAAAGGAATACGATTTATTTTAATAGTCCGCGATACAGAGCCTTTTTATCAAATTATTAACTTCTTGAATGGCTCCATTTTATCGTAAATTACTTTAATTTTCGCAAATTCTTGAAAATGGGGTGTTTTCAATCTGGAGATTGGCAAACTTTATCAATTAAATGAGGTACTAAAAACTCATGAACATCCATTTGCTTTCCTCTAGAATGATAAGATAATTTGATCACAAAATCGAGAAAAAATATTGCCTACATAAATATTGGATCATTTGGCCTGTATAACCTCTTAATTTTCTAAATCTAAAACGCCCAATTTCCGAGAATTTTCGTATATAAAAAAGTTGTTGGTAAATACCAGTAATAGATAGCCAGTAATTATACCAGTAATAGATATTGTATTAGTAATAGACAGTTTTCAACTCATTAACAGATAATAAACTTTATTCGCCCGAAAGGAAGTGCAAATATGAATAGATTTGCAATTAAAACATTTACGAGAGCACTAGTGGATCCAGGAATTAATTTTGGGGAGAAGCTTCAGCCCGAAAGTTTATATATATATATATATATATATATAATTATAATATATATTATATATATATATTATATATATATGTGTGTGTGTGTGTGTGTGTGTATGTATATGACGATAATTACTTTGTAAGAAAAAGAAAGAAACTAATTACCTATAAGAAATGGCGTTTAAGTGATTCTTGAAGCCCTATTAAATGTATTTAACGAACAATGATACTTTTTTCTTCAATTGTAAACATTTTCTCATCACTAATCAAAATCTTTCGATGAAGACCATTGGTGTACCGGCCAAGGAGCACTTTGCATCTATCCACTCTAAATTTTTTTTTTTTAGGAAGGTGGTTAACCTTTGTCCTGTGATTCTTCGAAATGCACCCATCCTAAGGTCACTTTTTATTATGCGAGACATTGATCTGACTGAGATTCCCATTTCCCGAGACATGAACTGTTTTCAAATGCGATTTCTTCAGATTCGAGCAGCCACTGCTCCCACTGCATTTGCCGTTCTCACAGTGCAGGGACAGCTCGACCGAGGTCTGTCACATACAGATAGGATCTCATTATATCTATTTATAGTGCGGTACACGAACATAAGGCTGTTATCCAAAGGTTTCAAAGTTTTGAAAATCTCTGACCTACAGTTTCCAACTTTGTGTAAGGTAATCGGCTATTCACAGCTATTCGGTTTTCTTTATCATCACACTCTACGTGAACTAAGCGAAAGAAAATTACAATATAATTGATATTATTATCATGACATGTAAATAAAATAACATGATAGAGGTAAGGATTATCTAAATAATACCCAAAGATGTAAACGAAATTCAACTTTTGTAACAGTATCTATGGCAGAACTACGTAAATTTACCTTTACTTACTTACTTCACCGGCACTACAGTCCAAGGTGGACTTTGGCTTCCCGTACAATTCGATTCCATGGGTCCCGATTCAATGCCATTTGTTTCCATCCAGTGATTCCAATCCTTGAAAGATCCTCATCAAGGTAATCCATTCATCATGTCCTAGGGCGTCCTATTTTTCTCTTGCCGTACACGTTCTCTCCCATTATTCTCTTTGTCATTCTATCATCTTCCATTCTTTGCATATGACCAAGCCAGCTAATTCTTTGTGATTTTATGAAGCGTAAGATATTTTCATGCCTTATCAAGTTTTCCAGCTCCTGGTTATTTCTAGTGCGCCACACACCTTGGACGCGAACTGGACCAAAATACAGCTTAGTATCTTCCTTTCAAACACACTTAGCATGTGTCGCTCTGTAACTTTCAGCGTCCTGGTTTCTGCGTCATAGCAAACAACAGGCGTGACAAGCGATTTGTAAAGTTTCATCTTGGTAGCTCTTGAGAGAAGAAGTGATCTGAAGAGATTTACAAGACCGTAATACGCTATATTTCCTACCAGGATACGTTTCCTGATCTCTTCACTCATCTTGTTTCGCAGTTGATATATACTCCAAGGTAAGTAAATTGTTCACCTGCTTCCAACGAATAATCATTAAACTAGGAATCGACCAACGTTCTTCTTCCAGATGCAGACAGAACCATGTACTTTTTCTTCTGTTCGTTTAACTCTAGGCCAACATTTATACATTCGTGCACAAGTTCAGTGAGGACATCCCTTGTCGGTCGTTCGTTTCTTCCAAGAACCACAAGGTCATCAGCATATCCGAGAATCTGTGAGGTACGGGTTACCAAACTTCCTCTTCGTTCAATTGTTTTTAGGGCTTTGTAGAGAGCTAAATTAAATAGTACAGCCGACAGAGCATCACCTTGTCGGACTCCACCATTGAAATGAAATTCGTTGCTCATTCTATTTCCAATGAGAACTTTCCCTCTTGGGTGGAACAGCGTCATTTAAATTCAATTAATTAATTTTAAGGGAATACCAAACTTCTTTAAGGCCGAAGTTAACTGTACTCTATTAACAGGATCGAATGCTTGCTTGAAATCAATGAAGAGTAAATACCTTAGATTATGATAAAATAAAACCATCCACGAATTTTTATAGGAGTGTTAATAATTTGGCAAAAAGAGGTCTGGGCCACGGATTATAATTATAATCAACACACTTATACTACAAAAGTATCACTTTTTTTTAAATCACATATGCTATCGAGGTTCATACGAGATCATTGGGCAGTCAAAAAAAAAAAATAAACAAATAAATAATATACTTAATACTGAAGATAGGTCTTATACCAGATCACTAATCAGGGAGCTGCATTACTATTTGATTTATTTTCAGTTGATGAAATTTTACAGAATATAAGAAATTCAG